AGAATAGCTCTGATCGGAGGTTAGATGATGCAATGGTGCACTCTGAAAGTTAGTCCAGAGGTGCTGTCATGACAGAACATGTCTAATTTTTAATCTGACCATTAGATCTTCTTCAAAGTTGGTGTACTATTAGTAATCATTAAAAATGATGTATGACCTTTAAAATTACTTCAATTGGAGGTCGAATGGCAGAACGGTGCCTCCCGAAAGTTGGCCTGGGAGGGCTGTCATGACAGCAATTTAATGCTATCATGACAACAGCTTTTTACCCTGCTTTCACCTAACTTGCTTTCATGCTCTATAGGAACCTATAATTTTTTTTAAAGGTTTAAATGTTTATTTTGTGATGATATATTTGTTTATTGATTTAAATGATTTATTTTCTAAGTTGGTTTTAGGATCAACTCCTTAACCATACTTAGTTTATTTGAATTGTGTGATTTTTGGATAACAATTAGGGCAAGTGTTACACTTGTGGTCTATCCACCACAACATGTGGCATAGAAAGGCAAATTTGGCTGCTGTAATGTACATCGCGACGCATGTGTCCATGATAGCAAAATGCTATCATGACAGTTTTTCAAGATAAATTTTGAACGTGCACCATTTTCGCATCCGATGTCTGATTGGAGTGATTCAAGCTCCCACATGAAGCTTATTCAATAAGCTAACTAATGATTCAAGTTTTGTTATGATCCAACACTATAATATAATTTTAAACACTCAGATACAAAAGTCAGTTTTTTAAAGCAATTTCAAGCATCCAAGTATCCAAAACTCAAAACTCATACCATTAACCCATTTTAAGGCTTGAACCAAGTCTAATAGAATAAAATACACTTGATTGAGCATTGAAACACACAAAAAAAATACCAAATATAAAATTTGGCCACTTAATGCCAATTTCACCCAATATGGCCAAAATATAAAATCAACACCGTATACACTATTTAGCATTTATTGCCATATAATACACCACATATATATTGTCACCACATGTATAAAATATTTCATGCACTTGTGTTAGTATTTTAGCCCATCACCACAAAAATCACTGCATATATACATCATATATAATGTTGGGCTAAAATACAAAATATCATAGTATAATACAAGTGCAACCAATCAAAATGACATGCATTCCTAGTTGGCAACATATAATATCATATCGTAAGTTTATGTACACCACTCAATCCAAAATTGAACATTACTATTCGTGATATATCAAATCTGCTAGTTCTTGCCCAATTCCTTTCCCTGCTCAAACTCAACGGTACAACCTATAAAATAATAACCACGGGGTGAGATAAAAATTTTAGTAACTAAAATAATTTATATTATTGATTGACATGCCAAGTTATAAACAAGACTTAAAATAAGCATAATAAACACACCATATAAAATCACCACAAGTTACATGCAAGATTATTAACCATCTGGTCCTTTAATACTCTCAACAAAACCGATAGGCTATATTACAGAATCAAACCACATGTATGATCCCCAAGCTCACCATCCATGGTAGGTCTACCCTGCTAAGGTGTCCTAAACTACTTATAGACTACTAGTTCCCCCTATTACAAGTAATTAGGGTGTCATTGCTCTAACATTGCATCCTCTGGATGCTAAAAAGCATAGTCTCTAACTCCGCATCCTTCTGGGTACTAAGGAGAGTAAGTCTCCAACACCACACCCTTTTCAGGCACTAGGAGAAATATGAGCTGTACCTGGCATCCTGAGGTGCCAGGAGTGCCATATGGAGTTAATCTCTACTAACTCTACTAGGGTGACCTCCCACTCTTTAATATGCTACGTTTCATTATATATCTCTACTTGACCATGTATAAACCACTTTTTAAACTAATATAATGAATATTACCACTTACTTCAAAAACATAACATTTTACAAATCAATACTCTATTCATTTTCTATAATAGTTAACTTCTACAAAATTCATACATATATACATAAGAAATCATGCAAGAACAACTTGAAATAACTTATATAAGAATAAATAATGCAAGTTATCTAGTTACCTCAACCCTTTTGTTACTAAAAGGGTTACTCATAATACTAAATCTCTTCTTATGTCAAGACAAGTCTTCCCACACTACAATCTACATCAATAAGTACTATATGTTAATTTTCAATTAACACAAGCACTATTAGCTACTAATAACATCCCAATTCTCCTACTTCTCACTCATATTCTCAATAAAGAGGCTTGTCAAGTTACAATTTGTTTACACAATCCCTTCAAGCCTCCCTCTAAATCTATCACAACATAACACTTAACATCACAACTTGTCACACCTCAAAACCCTATAATTAAGCTAGGGCTTGATCCAATTTTCACCAAACAACAATTTAACTTCATATTACCACTTATTCAAGGTTAAGAAACTTAAATCAATCCTTTAGAATCAATAGAAACCTTTAAAATATAGACCCATAGCTTAATCCATTTAGAGCAAATTCTCCCACTTCTAAATCCTATGGAAAATGAGATGAAAAGTAGAGAAGGGTAGGAAACTTACTTAAGAGTTTGAAGGCTCAATTTATCTTCTAAATCCTCCCAAAATGATGCCCTAGAAGTACCCAAAGCTTTCCCCTTCGTGTTCTAGGTCTCCCCCCACAAAAACTATCTTTTTTTAATGATTTTTAAAATTTTAACTTGTCTGCTGTGCTGTGCACCATAGCACATGCCATACAAGTTGTAGCTCACAACATAGCAAGCAAAATGCCAATTTTGCTCCCCCCGATGCCACCCGACTTGATCTAACTTCTATCCTATCTCAATTTAGAACCAAATATAACCTAAAAAGCTAATTAGGAACCCAAAAATATAATTAAATTAATTAATCATCTTTTTAACTAATTTATCCCTTAATTAGTCAATTTTTCTAGATTTGAAGTTTTTGGATATCACAGTGGGTACATCATGCATCGCAGCGCGCCTGTCTAAAATTCTGCTGTCATTTTGACAGCAAAAATGATGAACTTTCAGCATCCACCATTTTTACATCTGATGTCTAATTGGAGTGATTCAAGCGCCTACATGAAGCTTATGACATGCATTAACTAATAGAATAAGTTTGGACTTGATCTAATAGTCTAATCTAAAATTGAATGCTCAAGTGTAAAAAGTTACTTTTTCTTTCAAAAACTTACATCTTAAGTGCTCAATTCACATTTCTTGTCCCATTAGACCATTTCGAGCCTTGAACTAAGTTCAAAAGGACCACATACACCTAATTAACATTATAATACACATATATCACATCAATAGTTCATTTTGGCCACTCAAAGCCACATTACACACTTATGGTCTTATATGAGGAAGACACATATACAAGACATACTCATATATATAATTAGACTTATTCTCGCTTCAACCCTCTAACTATTACATATGGTATTTGATATGTCTGATGTTAATTAGATATATATGGTTCTTTTAAACTTGGTTCAAGGCCTGAAATGGTCTAATGGGACAAGGAATGAAAATTGAGCACCTAGGGTGTAAATTTTTGAAAGAAAAAGTGATTTTTTACACCTGAGTGTTCAATTTTAGATCAAACAATCAAATTGAGTCCAAACTTGTTCTAATAGTTAGTGTACATTATAACTTTGTGTGGGCACTTGAATCACTTCAATCGAATGTCGGATGTGAAAATGTCACATGTTGGAAGTTCATCATTTTTGCTGTCATTTAATTTCAAATAGGCACACTACGACACATGATGTGCCCACCGAAGTACAGGATGTAGTATGAAACAAGGTAGGTGGTTCTGTGCCGCATGTCGCAATGCAAGTGCTGCACGCTATAGTATATGGCCCATTTTTAAGGTTATAAAGTTGTGGCTTTTTGAGTCTTATAATTGTGTTCATGGTTTTGTTAGCTCTCTCATTTGAATATATGTTTTGAGAAGTTAGGATGCTGCAATTTTGAAAAAAAATAAAGGGTTATTGTTTTGATTTTATGTTTAAAGCACGGGTTGAGACGAGACTTTATAGTTCGAACCTAAGGACTTTACACGATGTATGTTAGTACATGTGCCATCTCAAATTCATTTTAATCAATACTCACATACCCGCTTGCATATACTTTCACAATACTCCTATTCTATCAGTTCACAATATAATACACATAGTTATATAAAAAAACTTGCAAACAATTTCACAAACAAACAAGTAAAAGGGTTACTCTAGTTACCCTTAATCCTTGCTACTAAGGGTTACTAATCACACTAAGCTCCTAAGGGCATAGATTCTCACGAGCAACTTCATAAGTGCTCAATCTACATAACACAGTGCTCTTTAGTCAATTCTTAACACATTTCATAAGCATTAATTTGGCTAAACTGAATCTCTTGACGCATAAATATGTAAAATTATTTGTCCATTCATAATTGACTTTTCATTGATCACAATTAACACCACTTATATTTCACAACTAACCTTACTTAAATTCACAAGTCACATTCTACAAGTTATTTTAATAATTATTTATTTTAATTACAAATAAAGACCATATCTCTATAACATTTCAATAATTCCAGGTTTTCTATTATCATTAATGCCTCCACAATGTTCTATAATTGTCCCTTTCCCTTGAAGTTATGTAAATGAAAGATTAAACTTTGCACTTAGTTATTAGTTATTATAATAGATTTCATCAAAACTACTCTTTTCAATATAACAAACCATTAATGAATATTATGAATCTTAAGTTATTATAATTATCTATTGTCTAATGTACTCTATAATTATATTTTTCTTCACGTACCGTGACGCTTCTTCATGATTGTTATGAATCTTAAGTTAATTGTGAACATGATTTTGAAAATTTTAGATGTTTAGAAAATATGGAAACAGTATTCCAATCTCTCTCCCCTTGTCTATTAATTGAAGCTTCTCCCTTCGATAACTAAAGCTTTTTTTAATTATTATTATTATTATAATTATTATGAGAATGTAGTCATGTACGATGCAAAAGAAATGTCAATTATTTTTATTCCAACCTCAATCAAACTTCAAATCAGAAAATAATCCAATACAATGTTTTTAATGTTAAATCACTTAAATTTGTTACATTTTCTATCAATGATTGATGATGGATGCCTTGGCTAACTGAGAAATAGTATAAGGGGAACAAGCAGTTCCACTGAAGCATTCCTTTGCAGCTATTTCATATGCGACTTGAGTTTGATGGCTATATTGATCAAATTTGAGATATTTTGATCTATCAGGACAAACTGGTCCATGGTCCACATAACAAGGTTCTTGCGTGTTCGTGATCCCTGTAATGTGAACAAACCCATATAAGAAAGCAAAATTATAATAACAATTCAAAGATTATTATTATTGTATAAAATGTAATTAAATAAAATAGTTCTATTTACCATATTTCTGAGGATTTCCCGTAATCTTGTTGTACACCTTGTAGACATCATATATGGTAAATATTGAACCGAAGAGTTCAGATTGTAACTTTTGCAACCTTTGAGGAAGTTTGTCCACGTAGTATCTTGATTCACAACCTTTTGTATAGTTTTGTGGCCCACACGTTGAAATGCCCAAAACTACAAATTTTCTAGCTCCGAGTTCATAAAGTGTCTGTGTAATAGATATTTAAATAATGAAATTGTGTCATGTTATCTATAAACAATAATATCTTAGAACCGAAATATACATCAATGTTTGCATAATATATAATACAAAGTTATTACATTTTAATATACTCTAATATTAGCTAAATTGTATACCATGGTCTTTTAATTTTATGCTCCCTTTGCTAAAAAATATAAGGCATCTATAACCAAATATCACTCCCTAATAAAGTAATTGCCTACTTTAAACGAACTCTATTTTTCATATTTACCCCTATTAAATACCCTACAATAAATATAAAGTTATTATTAATAGGAGCAATTTTGAAAAGAGACAATGATTACACATCGAAAGACTAAATACGCCTTATATTTTTTAACATCCAACTCTTCAAAAAATGCTTTACATCTTTGAACGGAAGGAGTAAAAGATTTTAATTTAATCTCTTAATTTTATAAAGTATCTTTTTAGTCCTTTAACCTTAACATCATTAATTTTAAATAATTATTTTTTTGCAATCATTGTTCTTTTTAAAAAATAAATTTAATATACTAACATTTGAAGAATAGATTTTTAATATTTGAAAGTTCTGTGTATGAATTTTTTATTGATAAAACTAACAGTGTTTTCTTTATAAGACTGAAAAAATATTTTATAAAATTAAGAGACTAAAACAAAATTTTATATAAAGTTAAAAGATCAAAAATATACTTCAATCCTCTAATATTTTACATAGATAACAAAAATCAAGATAATGTAAAACGTACCTTGATATGACCTGAGGTTTCATTAAGAAGGTAATCTGCATAGTCTTGAGGACAGTATTTGTTGGTGACATTTTTATTGCTCATCCTTTCGGAGTAATCGTTATTTCCAATAAGGACAAGGTACAAAGAATTGGCCAAGTTTTTCTGCAATTTCTCTTTGTCATTTATTGCCTTTGGGAGATCTTTTGTCACAGTTGATGTGAAGTATCCCACCTGTTTCGATAATGTCAAGCATTCTCCCTTCAACACAAAAAAGATAATTAATTAGATAGTTATCATATAAAGATAAAAATTAATTATTTAATTAATCACAAAATTAAAAGATTAATTTTAATTTCTTACTACTCCTGTCGTGTTTAAGATCCCACATGCTCCTGATGCGTAGCTTATTCCTGTCGTTATTTGACTTCTTTCAAAATCCGTGAGATTTAAGTATGCAGGAGGCATTGGTAAATCCAAATAAGTTGCTGCAAGGATAGAAACAAATGTCATAAGTGTTTTTACTATTTGGATAATACGCAATTAAAGGATAAAAGTTTAAAATTATTATATTATTAAAACAATGTTTCATGGAATAATTAGAGGAAATTTACAACAACTTCAAATAAATACTAGCTATTATGAAATATCATATAATCAATTCAAAAAACAACATTACAACCTGGTTTGTTGCTCATTCTTCAATTCATTTGGAGATATAAGATATGAAATGTTATGTCAATATTTAAAAGTCAAATGTAAAATTTTTTTGTGGATGAAATTAACGATATTAAAGTTAATAGATACTTTAGTTTTCATATCCCTTTCTTTTCAAAAATTCATGATCATTAAAGATAGAAAACAAAATTGATTTGAGAAGTTTACAATAGTTCAAAACTCACTCAGAATTAATTAAATAACTGAAAAAAAAAAAGCATTTGATTAAACCACTAACAAATTAACATACCAATAAAGTCAGCCATATTTTTCCCATTAGTGAATCGACCCGTTATATTATAAAGATCAATTCCATAAGGCCACCTATTAGCCTGTGCTGGTGTGTTCAAATGAGCATTGTTTCCGGCATCAACATGGGAATCACCAAACACATACAATGCTGACACCAAGCGATGTTGTTCATCACCATTGACATTAGTAATCAAAACTTGGTTAGCAACGAAGCAGAAAGATAGAAGAAAAAACAACACAGAGTTTTCCATGTCTTTCTGCTTCAAATTAATATGGAACCTTGTTTAATCAATCACGAGTGGCTTGGATGATTAGAGTACCATGAATGTTGTGTGTGTGTGTGTGTATACACAGAGAGAACTATGAGTATTTTTGGTAAAGGCAACCAAAAAAAGATAAGAGAGTTGAATTATAAGCGTATTTGGGATATAGATAAAAATGCTTGGTTATTATTTATTTGCATGTACAAAACCCATTTGTTAACCTCATATATAATAGCAAACAAGAATGAGAATGAATCGAATGTTAATATTAGTAAGATCTGTTATTATAATAATGCTAGGTTTTGCTAGAATCAAGGAAAATTGACCATGACATGATCGCACATTAATTAGCATGTAAGATCTGTTATTATTGTGTGGGAATCTTGTACTCAAGGAGATAGGTACGGGAAAGAGAAAATGGTTAAATATAGCTTTCTCTTTCTTAAGATCATCATTTTCTTGCATATTAATTGTAAATAATCAAAGAAATGCCATATTGGTTACAGTTTGTGAATAACACCACATGGTATTGTTATACTAGGTTAAAGAGCAAAAATATTTAGTGACTTTTTCTCCAAGATCACCTAGTATTTTTAATTGCGCGAATGTGCAAAAGCACCCATGAATTTATTTTAATGAATGCAATAATTCCCATTTTGTTAAATTTGACTAACATCCATTAATATTTACCCTTAATGAAAGAAGAAGAAAATACAAAGTGCAAAAATATTTGTAAATTTTTTCTCTAGGAGCTTCTGATATCCTAAAGTCAACAATGGTGACTGGGTACCCATTAATTTTATAAAATAGGCTAACCTTCCCAATTTATTAAGTTCTATTCTTATAACTATATGGTCAACATCACTTTATTTTAACATATTGGGAAAGGTTAGAGCTAGTGATTTGGGTCCAACTGGTAGGCCAACCTATAACATTCTACTTCTTCAAAGATAATTATTTAACTCTACCATAATAATTGAAACAAAACTCATCCTTCAAAAACATTTATGATGGTAAAAAAGTGTCTACTATAGTAGAAAAAACAAAAATACCATTTTGAAAATCCTAGATCCTATTCTAAAAATGAGAATTGAAAACCAATGTATTAAAATAAATCTAAAGTTTGGAAATGTGAATGGGCAATTATGTAACAAAGTGCACCATTCTTCGTGGCTAACATGTCATATCCCATAGTAGATGATTTATAGGAGAAAGTCCTTTACAGTGTGCATGCACCACAATTGATGTGTGTCATCCATCACAATGCATCGAGCCTGACAACAACATACTAGAATAAACATTGTTTTCAAATTTAAAAAAATGCATAACTTTTAGTACACAACCTCAAATTGAGTGATTCAAGTATCTACATAAATATTATAAGGAAAATTAGCTATTGGCTTTGATTTGACAAAAAACAAAATCATTAACATGACAAAGTTATCCACAAAAGTCCATTAAGGTCACCAAACACTTTTCTTATCAAACAATCCTCACAAATCAACTTCAAAGCCAATATTAGAGATGGGGCCACTTGACCACATTCTAAACTCACGAAGTAACTTATACAATTCACCATTTAAATCCACCAATTAGGTTATAACTGCCCAACACAATATATATATATATATATATAGCATAATAGTTCCATAAATTCATCAAAATCCTTATGCAACATTTGAGTATCTAACTTAATCAAAATATGACCATGAGTGTGACTAATTAAAAACAATGCTCATTTACCAAAAATGAATGCTCTAAGTTGGTAAAACACATTATAATCTAACAATATATATGGCCTAACACAAAAAAAATAGTGCTCCACATAGTACCTAGGCCATTGGTGCTTTTCTAGCCAAACCCTCTTTTGTTTATTAAAAATGTTAACCATAGGGAATGAGGTACAAATGTTCTGGTAAACAAAACTAAGATGCAATTATGCATGTCATGCAACTAGTCATGTTATTGCTAAGGGAAGCATGCAAAACATTTTCCAAGAAAAATATGCTCCAAACATTTTAAATAAATCCAAACAATTATTAATGCATGACTATTAACTTTATCTCCTCCTTTATCTAGACTTAAGTCCATACTTAGTGCTAACTAACTTGGCTAAAGCTATGTTAGGCCAAGCCTTGACAAGCCATTCATTAGGTCCAATGAGAGCATACCATGTGGCATCTAACAATTTTTGAAACAAAATCCTCTAACATCCTTTCAAAATTGAACAAGTCACGTGTACAAATTTATAAACCAAACACAATACCAAACAATATTCATAATTTGAACAAGTCATGTTCTTTCAAACATACTTATCATCACACATATGCATTTTCATCCCACTTGGCAATATTTTCACAAAAACAAAACATATTCTTATAGTACATTACTAAGCAATATTCTCCAAACAAATAATGGCACATAACCAATCAAACAAACACACATAATAATAAATTAGTAGTGTTTACCTTTGCTCCTTAGCAAAATACTTCCCCTTACAAGTGATAGATCACCATAGTCTTCACCCAACACAATCTAATAATTTCCAATGCTGAATATAATTACTGCATATTAAGCTCAAAAAGCTAATTACAAGTTAGGTAAATTAACCTCAACAACCAAATACTCCCCCATACATTTAAACATTTAAACTTTCTTACTTATATCACCATTACACTCATCACATCAATTTATGAGTTCCTAACATAGTTTTCAAATCCAAATCATCACCCAACCATGTAGGGTTTGAATTTAACCTATCCATTACAATAATCATTATCATAATCATCTAATATACACTTATTGATCCTAAAATAACCCTTAAGTATGTACCCAATGGCTAGGACCTCACTTAATACCAAACCCTAACATTTTCCCAATTCAAATTAGATAAAGAGAAGGATTAAGAGGTAGGAATAAGATTAGAGATGTTACCTTAGCCATTTTAGAAACCCAAATTCATGCATTTTAAGAATGGAAACCTTCAAACCCTAGTAGAGCCGACTATCTTCGCACCAAACCCTCCAATTTTCTCCTTTTTCTATTTTGTCCCGTGTCTATTCTTTATTTTAAAATATGATACGTGCACCATAGCGCATGGCATAGAGATAAACTTCTATCTCTAGCCCATGCTATTACACCTAAATCTGACCCAATACCCCATTTTAGACCCCAAACAACCTTAATTATCATTCTTAGGCCCAATTAAGTAATAATTACAAACCTAATTAACTCAATAACCTTAAATAATCCTCAATTGAATTTCTCATTTAAAATTTAGAATGTTACACTACTCAGATGAGCCTAAAAAACCATAGGACTAAGCTTGAGAATTTTCTTTACTTCAAGCTTATTTGAGTCACTTGAATAAACTCATAAAACCTAGGCCAAGCCTAATTCCAAATGAGCTTAGCTAGAATACCTAAATTCTTTTTTATTATTAGTAAAAATGAAATTAAAATTAGATGAAACTTTAATATCTTAATTTTTTAAGATAAGAATGAAAATTGGCTAAAAAAATAAAAATATAAAAAAACTATTTAACAATTCGAGTATTCTAGCAAGCTCATAAATGTTTAAAAGCCCCAGTTGTTAGGGCCGAGGTTAGTTATATGGCCTCTTGTATAATGTTAATCATGCGCCATTATTGACTTAAGGATACCAGAAGTGTCTGGAAAAAAAGTTTCTAGATATTTTTACATCTTATGTTTGCTTTCTTTTTTTTTAATGGTTAATGTTAATAGATGTTAGTTAAATTTAACAAAATAGAGATTGTTGCACCCATTATACCAAGTTCATGGCACTAGTACAAAATATAAAATTTATGGGGTACTTTCTACATCGGTTGGAAGGCAAACGGTGTAAAAAATAAAGGCGGTGGCATTTTTGTAATTATTTTGAATTATATGACACTTTTTACACCGGGTGTCCAGGCACCCGGTGTAAAAAGTGTTTTTTAAAATCCTTTCTTCCTTCCTCCATTCATCAGTTCCCTCTCCTCCTTCTCGCGCCCTCCCTCTCGTCTCCCCTTCGTCCGCCCACTTCCCCTCCCCCTCGTCTTCTCCCTCGCCGGACCCCCTCCCCCCCATCCGCCCAGCCCCTTCCCCCTCCCCCTTATCCCGCCTCCCCCTCCAGCTCCTCCCCTTGCTGCCCACTCCCCCTTCCCCTCGGTTCGTCCAACCCCCTCCCCCTCCCCCTCGTCCCGCCGCCCCCTCCCCTTCCTCCCCTCACCGCCCAGCCCCCTCCCCCTCGTCCCGCTGCCCCCTCACTCCCCCTCCTCCCCTCGTCGCTCCTTCCCCCTCCCCTCAGTTCGCCCGATCGCCCCCTTCCCCTCCCACTAGGTCTGCCCTCTCCCCCTCGTCCCGCCGCCCCTTCCCCCTCCCACTCCCCTTTCCTCGGCCGCCCCCTCCCCCTTCCCCTCGTCCTGCCGCCCACTCCCACTCCCCCTCTCCCCTTGCCCACCCCTTCCTTCTCCCACCCCCCTCCCCCTTTCCCTCCCTCTTGCCCCCCTCCACTACTCCTTCTCCCTCCCTCTCAGTGTTGAGCCGTTGCTGCAGCTGCCGCCACCCAGGTATGTGTTGAATATAAATTTTTAAATTTTATAATGTTAAAATTTAGTTTTTAATGATATTGATTGTTGCTGGGAGTGCTGTTAGTGGCTTCATAAGGCCTTAGGTTGTTGCATGTGATCATTTATTTGGTTTAAAATTGTTAATTTTCTTGTGTAAAATTTTCTAAAACTTTTGGGAAGTCCAATATTTAGGGGAGACTCTGTCAATTTTTTTTTGAATTTATTCTTTCCTCTAATTTTCTTAAATTTAGTTTTTAATGATATTGATTGTTGCTGGGAGTGCTGTTAGTGGCTTCATAACGCCTCAGGTTGTTGTATGTAATCATTTATTTGGTTTAAAATTGCCAATTTTCTCTTGTAAATTATTTTAAAAGTCTTAGGAGATCCAATTTTCAAGGGAGATTCTACCAAAATTTTTTCAAATCTTAATTTAATTAGGAACTTAGTTTCTTAAAATAGTTTGAAGATAATAACATTAGTTATATTCTTTAGGAGGTGACACATGGATCGTAGTTGGATAAATGCTAGACGAACGAGTAACGAGTATGATAATGGGGTGAAAGAATTTTTGAAATTTGCTAAG